TACAAGTGGAAGAGGACTGGGCACCATTTTAATGCAGTAGAAGCTTTGTCTCTTAAATTTTAAATACCTCTGTTGTGTATCTTAACGTCAGGAAACATGCCCCCAGACCCTGAGACCAGGAGGCCGCTTCCTTCCCGGGGATGGGGGGAGGGGTGGCAGACGGAGGGCCAAGGCGAGGGCAGCTGCCATCCGCCCTGAGCCTCCGTCAGAGTCTGAGCAGGAGGCCGGTGGCCGCGGAGCCCCTGCAGGGGGCCGGCACGTCCCCGCAGGCCCCTCGGCCCCCGGAGCAGGCACCCTCCGGGGTGCCCCGCTCCTCCCCTGGGGGTCCCCTCGGGCCCTGCAGCCGCTGCTGCCGTTCGTGGGCCTGCCGGGCCCGGCTGGCGATGGCGCGCACGCGGCTCTGGCTGCGGGAGGACGAGCGCCGCAGGAAGCCGGGGGCACCGGGCACCCCTTCCCCAGCGCCACTCAGGCTGGTGGGCGAGGTGATGTCACCGGCCTGCTGGAAGCCCGTGAGCCAGCGCAGCTGCTCGGTCAGGGCGTCCCGTCGCGCCCCCCGCACCGCCCGCCCCTCCCTCGCCAGGCCCAGGCTTCGGCCCGGGATCTCCACTTGAGGGGCAAAGTCGTCAGCAGTCAGGTCCCCCAGGCTCTTGGACTTGGCGGCTGCAGGGCAGTCCCGGAGGCCTACCAGGGGGAGGCGGCCCCAGGGTGGCCTAGGGGCCAGCGGACGGGGCTGAAGCTCTTCCGGCGCCGTGGGCAGCTGGCTGGCAGCCCGCAGGTTAGGGCTGGATTTGCTCTTGGTCACAGCAGGCAGGTCCAGGCGGGCGGCCGTGGCCGAGCAGGGTCGCAGGGGCAGGCGTCCTGCTGGAGCCCCGGAGACGCTCTCACGGCCCAGGCCCAGGCCCGGCAGGGAGAGGTCGATGACCGTGTCGCTGGAGGACACGCTGGAGGATGAAGACACGCTGTCTCGGTGGCCGCCCGGTTCCAGCCGCCGCCATAGCCGGTCTCCAGCCGTGGCGTCCGAGTACACGGTGGGGCAGGGCCCGGCCAGGGCCCGCCATCCGCCCGGGATCTCCGGGGGCACCTTCCCATCGCCGTCAGCCCTTCTGACCGTCTGGCTGCCGGGGGCCCCCTCGCAGGCTCCCCCTGGGCCCCCACCGTTGTACACCCGCCGATGGCTTTCTGGGGCTTGCTCCGTGTCCCCTCTGCTCTGGGTCCTGAGTTGGAAGGGCGTGGGAGCTCCCAGAGCCACCACAGGGGGGCTGGCCACTTCGGCGGCAGGTCCCGACGGGCACGGCAGCCCTCCCGGGGAGGGGCTGGGGGGGGCAGCCACCAGAGGTGGGGGGCCGGGGCCCGGGGCTGGCTCCTCGGCAATGGTTTCCAGGCCACGGAGGGAGGAGCCCGGCCTCTGCGCGGAGAAAGGGCGGGTGTCTGTGGACGAGAGGAGAGGAGCGTGTCGGGCTCATCCCCCAGGGACGGTGCCCGCAGGACCCCCAACAGCCAGGCCCCTCGGTGGGCACGCAGCTGCCCCCCACCCTGCCCTCCGGCTCTGCCGCTGCTGGGGCTGGGGGGGGG